ACACGGAAGTCATTTGATACTGAATACATGTATCATCGACCCCAATCTGGTTTACCTTATTTCCCAACTTGCAAAACTGATTTGTATCTCAGCCCAGTTTTTTTTTAATTTTTTTGAACTGAGGTCAAATCTTGGCCGTTTGTCAAAATATACCGATGTTTTTTAGTGAATAATTGTGAAGCCTGTCACAGCACAAACAAACTATGTGAATCGACGCAGGAGATTGGATGGTACGACGACCCTTAAATTAGCGTCAAATACAACAACATGTTACTACATCATTGATTGGCCGAGAGTCACCTGATCGGAGCACACAACCTGGGTCACAGAACCATATTTGTCCGTATTATCAACTTTGCGAGAGAACCACACCCACATTTTCAACCATTTTTAGCACGGAAGTTGCCAACAAATGTTGAAAAACTCGTGAATTTTATGGATTTGAATAAAATAAAGCTAGCGATTGGTAAGACTGGTTAATAATGTATCCCTCGATGCTCTTCGATTTTTTAAAATTTTATTTCAAGGTCAGAAATGCGTAATTGAAGTTCCATCGATTTCAAGGCGACTGTTTCACCGCGACAACTGTATGCCGTGTTGTAGTTTTGCAAGGTAAAACAAAAATATAATAAATAGTACTTGTTTAATTATTTGGTTTTATAGCCCGCAAATTACGGGACATGATCCCCATGAATTACGATGAATAAATGCTGATTGTGTTGAATGACTGATGTCGGGACCGTTGGAGAAACCAATGGTGATATTCCAAACAAATTATTGGTACACGGTCGGTAGAAAGACGAGATTTTTCCAGATATTTACAAACATATTGTCATACTAAATATATGCAAAATTGACAAATACACTAAGAGATATTAGGCTTTATTTTAGCCTTAGAAATATTTTCTTTCACTTTAGCTTTTTAGCTTCATGGTCCTTCGGCTTGTCTTCTCCTTGGGGAAATAACAATAATTATACAAATTGTAAACTCAACACAGTCAGGAAAAGAAACCCAGACAACCATGTCATACTTCTGTTGAAATACATTTTGTAGCAGTGCGTCACCTCAGAATAAGTTGTTTAAAATAAAATAGTCAATCCCAGCCAAATCTAGGTCAAAGGGTCAGATTGCGTGCATAGATAGTTAAAACAAAAAGTATTTGAACTTTTGATGGTTGTTCAACATCTATGCACGGTTACTAAACTTGATCTATGAAAACCAGAAAATTGTTAGTAGTCTGAATTTTTGCACAGTCAAAAATAAAGCGGAAATTCAACAAGCGGTCGCAAAAGCGAGCGATTAAAAAACGGAAGCGGGCGAGAGGTTGGGCGAAATGAGTTCTGTACTTCTTTGTTTGATGAAGCGATGCTGATGCCACATTGTCGCCATAATGAGGCCGCAATGAAGCAAAGCGATGACCGCCTCAACTTTTTATGTTGCGACATTGAAGCGACGCTGAAGCCATAACAATGCCATGATGATGCGATGCTGAATTGAAGCGAAGCTGATGCTGAAGTGAAGCCAAAGATTCCGCGAGAACTGTACTGTATGCACATGCAGTGGTTTAGCAATTCGATTCAAAACGACCGACTGGCAGCCATCTTGTTTTTTGAAAATGTTGTATTTTGAACATGCTTTGTCAGTTTTCATTTAAATTTAGTACATATATTATACATGTTAGGATACATGTCCCTGACCATTCGTGAGTTCCTGAGTCTGTCCGTCCGTCCGTCCGTCCACCTGTGTGTCCGTGCGTCAGTCTGTCCAGTCATATTTCAGAATCCTGTGGACCAATTCTGTTCATTCTTTGCATGTGCCTAGTATCTTATGTGGGACATATGCACATGCAGTGGTTTAGCGATTCGATTCAAAATGGCCGACTGGCAGCCATCTTGTTTTCTGAAAATGTTGTATTTTGGACATGCTTTGTCAGTTGTCATTCGAACTTGGTACATAGATTATACATGTTAGGATACATGTCAATGGCGATTTATTTCGCAATTGGATCAAAGATGGTCGACTGGCAGGCATCTTGTTTTTTGTTTTTTTATGCGGTATCTTGGACGTGCTCTGTCAGTTTTCATTCAAATTTGGCACATACATGTACTTTATACATGTTAGGATGCATGTTCATTCCAATTTGTTTCAAAATCTGGTCAAGGATGGCCGATTGACAGCCATCTTACTTTTTGGCCTTACTGCTATATTTCCACAATTTATGTACAATATTGATTTGATTTTTACACATACATTATACATATCAGTGTGTTTCATAATCAGATCCAAGATGGCTGAATAACGGTTGTTTTTATTTTACTACTACACGGAACACATGTTTTGATGTAAATAAACAATCTGTTGTATACGCCACTTGGAACTGAAGTTTCAAGGACACGCTCGCGACAACCCCTCCGCTTTAATATGACGAGATTGAGATTTTACAATTATATAATTCTAACAAAATAATGCCTTCTATGCTCACTTGTCATTTTTTTTACAAATTTCAAACAGATGATTCATGAATACAAATAAAGATTTTACAAATATAGCAAATTTCACAAAACCAATTGAAAATTTGTATTACGAGTACGAATCAAGAATTCACAAATACAAATGGAGATTTTACGAATACAAATTGAGATTTTATGAATATGAATGTCATTTATAGATGTGAACATAAATATTTTTAATGAATATTCACTCAGCCTTCCATGGGATTTAAACAAAATAATTTCTATTACCTTTCTCAGTTATCTCATTTTATTATTATTGAAACTTTTATTGTATTTTCAGTTACTTTATTTTTGATCTTTATCTTCTTGTCTCTGTCATGCCTTAACTGATCTTAAACTTTATATATACTTCATGTTACAATTATTCACATGCATTTGATTGACAATCTAATTAAGGTAGCGGGACTATTATTTGCATACTTGTTTTCATCTTTTAATTGTGACTAAATGACTACAAATAGACCCGGGAAAGTATATATTTTTAGAATTGCCAGACTTCAAGCTTTTCACAAGTGTATTTTGCATGCCCGTATCTGCATTCTATGATTACTCAATCAAAAGTGAAAAATTACTTTTTCTGTAAAAAAAA